TGTGCACGCGAACGTTAGTGCAACATTTAATAAGATAAAAATGGAGCTATCTCAACGAAACAAATCACAGGATAAAAGTCTGTTTCAGCAGCAATCAGGCGGCAGCACTTTGATGACAGAGCTGGAGTTGCGCTCACTGCCTTATCAGGACATTCAGGTCTTCGGTTCCCAGGTTCCTGTTTTACATCGCTCGCTGCAGCTTCCTTTCCTTCCACGGGTAATCCCCGCGCAAGGTGATCTGTGCAGCAAACAACCGGCGTGACCTCCCACGTTTATTGTTAACGCTGGAGTTCCGAGAGACGGACGATGCTTCACACACTTCCAGCTCTCAGGTTCACTGCTTCGCGAACCATTACTTGTAACTTTACAGCGGTATACTTCAGGGAAGTTGGAGGTCTGTTTAAGATGTACGTGATTAGGAGAGTAAATGAATGAAAATTGAAAACCGGGAAAAGTGAGCGAAGGTACAAGCCGAGTCCGTGTCGTTAAAGAAGGCAGCAGGAATGGGAGGAATGTATATAAGTCGCCGTTAGATGTTTTCGAATATTTTACACATTAATATCATAGAGAAGTCCTCTGCAGAGGTCCATTCAACGAAGGATTAATGTGAACGTGCGTAGTTGTTGGTGCGGAATTAACGTAGAACGGGTGATAGTAGAACTCTCAGCGCTTGTTAAACTCTAACTTCTATCACTCGTGCTCTTCAATCATAGTTTCGATGACGTCAACAGGTATAACTCCTCTACGACAATCTAGTATCCTGTTTCGATATTTTCATACAATAGGAAAATAAGTATCATACTGATCTTACAGCGTTGTCTCGAATGACCTTCCCTTCTCGAGGACACGAGCCTGGGACACCGCCGGGCATCTGGCAGCTCCTCTGTTTACGCTTGAGACAACACAGACACCAAATCAACTCAGTCGACAGGAAGGCCCCCAAGGCAGCCGGGGAGGGGCATGGGACAGGGGAAAAGGGGGATGGGGAGGGGGAAGAGGAAGGGAAGAGGAGGAAGAGGGAGTGGGGAGGGAGGAGGAGGAAATTTGAGGGGAAGGTTCAACGTGATAACATCCGTCTACAAGCGCGTTATTCCTTGCTAATATCCCAAACAACCATAACATAATGATTTCCACGCGTCCATAGCGTCTGCCACAATATGCTTCCTGGTTCATTTAAATCGGTTTTTCGTCGGAAGTTGCTCGGAGTCGAGCTTAAAGATGCTGTTCCTTCGACGGATCGCGGGTTCAATTGAGCCACAGCGGCTGCGCGCGGCTGCGGGGCGTCTCCGCTGAGGGTATTTCGCTGGCGCTTGAACTCATGAACAGCGGATTCGTGGATTTGGTTCGAATTTTCGGAAAAAAAAACAATCGATAGCAGACAAAGACACAATAGACATCAGTATTGCAGACACAAGATCGATGATTGTTTTAGAGCCATCTTTAGATATACAACAAATAAAGGAACATTATTTTTCTTTAATAAAACATATATTGATTATTTGGACACTGAACCTCCTAGTATAGTAACCTTTAGTGAACATGAATACCAAGAGTAAATATTTCTGAATGATGTATTTACAGTGACTGATGTGAAATACAAGTTGCGTGTCCGTTCCCGAAACATAACTAGAAGAAGCCGAGGAACTGAATGAGACACAACACCATAACGTACACAAAATTCAGAGTAAAATATCGTAAAGAGATCCCACACACAGGAACGAATTTCTCAATACCTTATGTGCTGTCCGGAAATAGATGAGTTTTATCCTTTAGTTCGTTTTTCCTTCTCCTTTTATTCCATAATTGATTTTCCAATACTTAGTTCACTGCGACTTCTCGGCAAACTTGAATGTTCCTTTGAATCTTTCAAGCTACTTTTGCATTTGCAATTGATGTGTGTAAAAAGCAGCAGTATAGAATAGTCTTTCAAAAATTAACACATAAATAAATAAACAAAACAAACGAATAAAAAGGTTTAGAAGTCCTTTCATGTCTGATTATCCCCTGCCTTATCGGAGAAATGATCAATCACGGATTTTGCAGAGATAAGAGCTTGGAAATAGCATTATATGATTTTCGCATAAAATACAATCAGCCGTAACTTGTCAGATAACGATATGCGATATTGTATTCCTGTTTCCTAAAATTGCATTTCGAATAATTTCATTCTATTATTGTGTGACAGCATAATCAGACTGATATTTAAAACGTATCCATTTTAATGTCCGCTAATAATTCCATATTACATTTACATTGGCACCGGTGACAGGGAAAACATGAAAACATTCTGTTCGTATATGAAACCAAAATTTAATATTTCTCATATTTGTAACAAACATACTCAAAGTGATTTTTGGAGACGATGCCGGAAATCTACGTCTAAATTAGTTTTCCCGGCCTACTGTCAGCCTTCATTGAATCTTGCAAGGAAACGGGAAATGGTATGAAAATGGGCGAAGATAACGGCGGAAGCTTTGAGGAGAAAGGCGGGAGGACCTGTTTTCACATAGCCATGATATGTGAAGGAATATTGCAGTGACTCGACTATGTTTACAAATATTCAAAATATCTATGTCATCGTCATTTAGTATTATTGTTCAGCGCTGAGTAGGATCAATATAATTTATAGTCTGACAGCATCTACCCTATAGTGTATGTTTTTTTTTTTCTTTTTAATCAAAGATGTAACATATTCTGCGGAATAAAAAAAGTTGCTTTTCGAAATTTTGTACATTATTGTTTTCCATTTTCAAAGGAACAGCAGGAGGTTATACACGGCCCTTGCAAACTTCTTGAACAATATGACAAGAAAAACTCTTCCAAACTTATACCCTGTATCTGAGATTTTCTTATACTACATGAAGAAAAAAAAGAAAAGGAAAAGACTGACAGATTTTGTTCTCTAAACTTAATTCATTTCCTTACCCTTGAAGCTGCTCGACATCACATGAAATTCCAAGGTTCAAACAAAATACAATTTGAACTGGATTATAGCTCGGGTGCTGGGTTGCCATGGCAACACGATTCCCCAAAGCATCTTCAAAATAACACAGCTCCTCACAAGCTCTCATCACAGCTTTATGACTTCCGCTTGATTCCGCGCCGACCTGGCCCAGCCGCCCCCTTCTTCAGGAGGAAAAGGGCGCGACCCGTTCTTCTGGCGCCCAAGGGAGAGGCGCGCGCTCACTCGGCCTGCCACCGAGGTCCTTCGTCTTGCCCTTTTTGTCGCAGTAGAGAGCTCCTTTTTACGTTGTCGTTTCTCGCCGCCTCACGAGGGTCTCTGACAGATCTTTCCCGAACGCTATCGCAAATGGACACAAGGTATGGAAGAGGGTTTTTCTGCAAGAGCATTCTTTTTTTCTGAACCGCAGAATCACTTGTGGGAATCCATCTCCACCCTGAAGTCCTGATTGAGGCCCGCGAGTGCAAAATCTAATCCTTGGAGCATCAAGTTTCACCTCTGAACATAAATTTATGCCTCGGAGCCAAAATGTACGACCTGGAGCATAAACTTACGCTTTGGAGCATAAGTTTACACGGGAACACATATCTACTCCTTAAAGCATAGATTTAAGTCACTGACATCTTAGGTCACAAGCTATTTGCACTCGCAAATAATCCTAACGAGTTAGAAAACGGGGAAACTAAAAGGTGGAACTAAATTGCATTAAAATTAGCCACTGCAATACATATAAAACAGTAACTTTTTACAAAAACCTAAACAAATAAACCAACGAACAAAAAAAGTGTGTTAATCTGATTCACGGGACTGTCCCTGTGATGTTTTCTGAACCTCTTTTCACTCACGCCATCAGCCCTTGGGTCCGATTCCCCCGTGGCGCGGCGAGGTCAAGAAAAGGGGACAAGATATTCACGACGTCGGGGTCACGCTGGGGCAACCTAGGTCACCGGGGAGAACGGGGAAGTATCACGTGAAGAGGAACAAGAGAGAGATAATGTTTGTGGGGATGAGCAGCACCGTGGAGAAGCCGGAGGCGGAGTTGCCATGCTGCATCGCCGCCGGGGGGTCACCTGCGGGGAAGGGGGGCGAGTTAGTTGGGGAGGTATTTGTTTGCTGTGAGGGAGAATCTCTCTCTCTCTCTCTCTCTCTCTCTCTCTCTCTCTCTCTCTCTCTCTCTCTCTCTCTCTCTCTCTCTCTCTCTCTCTCTCTCTCTCTCTCTCTCTGTCTACCTACCTCTCTCTCTCTCTCTCTCTCTCTTTTTCCCTCTCTCCCACAAACACACCCACACACACAATGTATATATTAACTTAAATAAATACCGTGTATGTGCGTACTGACGAAAGTAACTTTGTCAGTTAATGTATTTCATAATTTAAAACGTGTATGCGAGATTTTTTCTTGTAGAATACAGATCCAACCAAATCATGTGGGCAAGTTGTTTGCATATTAAAAGAATAATTATCATGCGTGTTTTCTTTCGATTTCATGAACAATGGCGCAATCCCGCACAACATACCTTTCAAATTACCTTCCGCGCTTTATTAACCAATTTCAAATTCAAATAGCAACTCAGCAAAAGCTATTCTGCATCCAGATGAGCAGTTCCACCGACAGAAGCAGAAGCGCAGATAACAAAGAAGACCCAAAAATGGCCTCATTGCAAACCGTGAAGCGTCGCTCAAATCTGCGGCCGCGCAGCCAGACACTGGCCTCCGCTAGTCATGTGGAACGGCCTCTCCGGTCGCTCTCTCGCGGTGTTTGTTCAGCCTTTGATGCTACGGACACAAAGTCAATACCAGCAATGGTTTATTTAGCTTCTGCTCCTGCTGCTGACCGCGGAGCCGCTCTTGCCGAGCTGTGTGCTCGGGTCGCCGCCGGCCGTTGTTTTCGGGGCGGAAATATGTCGCGCGACCGAGGTGCCAAAGTTGCGGCGCCGCACGATGGAAACAGATGGGCGGCGAGGACGGCGTCGGTCGGGCTAAAGGGGTCGCGCGTGATGCGGAGAATGCCAATGTGAAGCTGCGGGCGCTTATGAGCTTTAGGGAGTCTTAGCGTAAAGCTCAGGATAGGAGTACGGCGCTGGATAGGGTACCGTGACTCGGGAATGGACTGGGTCACGATTCTGGCTGTTGGGGAAGGTGAGAACGAACACATTTACAAGGGCTTGTGCAGATCTTGTGCAGTACGCCGGGATTCCTCTTTCATTTTCCTCTGTATAATTCACTTAAGAGAAATAAATATGATGGTACGAGTGTGACGGTGAGTTCTAAATTTACTAACTAGAGGATGAGAGCAATTCAAGTCATCAAATCCTGGGAGTTTGAGGATTGCGGCCAAACATCAGTCGACGGTTACCCCGGGAGAGGACGCAGGCGACGGGACCCGGGCAAGGAACAGGAATCGCGCACAACCAAGAAAAAGATCAAAATGAACCCATGCGCGCAGAGTTACGACATCGAGCGAGGGCTGCTGACCAGCCCGGGAAGCACGGCTCCCGACGGCGAGAAGACCCGAAGGAGGGTCGGTGGCGTTACCTTGGATCACGTGGACGATGACGCTGTCGGGGCGGCCGGCGGAGGGCCAGCACGAGTAGTTGCCGGAGTCCCTCTTCTCGGCCACGGCCACGGTGAGCTTGCTGGTGGTCACGTCGCCCACCGTGGTGTCCACCGTGACGCGCCCCGACCCCCGGTCCACCAGGCGGTCGTCCTGGTACCACAGAACCAGACCTGGAACGTTGAAGACAAAGGCAACTAAATGAAGCGAAGAGGCCGGAGGAAGTTAGGCAGGGAGATGAAAAGAGGAAAAGGAAATAATCTGGAGATAAGAAGTGGGTCCCACCCCAAACTGTTTTTTTTTAATCATTATTATTTACTGATTATTATTCCCGTTATTTATTTTTCATTTCTATGTATAAGCCTTTGGGACTAAAAATGCCAATACGGCAAGTACTTTCCCATGGCGATGGTACCAACCCTTGCACTCGCAACTGCAAAGCCCACACGCATATAAATCCCAACGTTACTGAAATATTCACTCAAGACCAGAATTAGGTCTCGCCCTACACGACCCGCGCGCCTCTGACTGGCGCAGACCAACTCGGATACATCAAAATCCCGCCCCACTTACCGGGTATGACGAGCTCCTCCCGAATCACGCACTCCAGAGTCACGGTGCTTCCGCTCTGCACGTACAGCGTCTCCTTGCCCTGGATGTTGGCTCGCGCTTCTGCAGAGAGCAAAGAGGACTACTGTATTGCTGCGAGGAGTGCGTTCCTTAGTGTTGCTCGGGGGTGTGAGTGCGGGGGACATGCGCAATTAAGGCTTTTGTAATGTATATTATCCTTTCACAATTGCAGACGTCACTAGAGTGCATACATGTTTATTAGAGTAATAGTGATGATGGCAATAATCACAATGAAGATGATTATGATATAATAGCAATGATAATAATAATGATGATGATACTGATAATGATTATTGATAATTATAACGATGATATTAATAATTATAAATATGATTATAATAATAACAATAACAATCCCAAATATGATACTAATGATGGTGATGATAATAAATATCATTATGATAATATCAACAGTAACGTAACAATCACAAGTATAATGATAATGATAACAGTAATAGTAATACTAATACGACTAAAACCATTTATGAACCTTAAGCAAAATATATGCCATGCCTGGCTAACATCCTAACTTAAAATGGATGATGCGATAATAACGAAAATTATAATGCTTTATCACTATTAGAAGAAAAACAAAAATGCTTTCATTAAAGACACACGCATGTCTTTTAGAAGACAGGAAAGCCATCCAACCAACATCAACATTAGTCTGGAAAAGAAATTATCCCCGGAAAGGCGTGGAGAGGCCGCCCACGCAGGCACAGCATTCCCCATCAAGGGGCCATTCATCACTGGGCGACGGAAACACAAACGGTTCAATATCAGCCGTAAACTATTGCCCAAGGAAATTATTCTGAGAGGAAAGGCAGCGGCGACTTGGTCCTTTGTCTCTGCGTGCTCAGCCGATTGGGAGAGGCGTGAGGGTGCGTGAGAGTGAGGGAGAGGGGGAGAGGAGGGAGGGAGGGAAAGTGTGCGTGAGGGAGAGGGAGAGAGAGAGAGAGAGAAGAGGAGGGAGAGGAGGGAGGGAGAGGAGAAGGGGAGGGGGGGAGAGAGAAGGAGAGGAGGAGAGGAGGGAGAGGGAGAAGGGGGGAGGAGGAGGGAGGAGAGAGTGTGCGTGAGAGTGAGGGAGAGGGAGAGGGATAAAGGGAGGGAGGGTGGGTAGGCGAGGAAAGTGGAGACCGAATGATTGATGTAGAAGAATATTTATCGGTTTATCTAATCATCTATCCATCTATCAATATGTATCAACCTATTTATCTATCATAATAAGCATGTATGTGTATGTGTAAATATGTGTATATGTGTGTGAGGCTCTATGTATGTGTGTGACTCAAAAGAGAAGAATGAAAAACATGAGTTAAAGAAGCAGAGAAAGTCTTCCAGGAGACACAATCTAA